GACACTTTTGTAATCTGGCCACATGACCGGCCTGCTCTAGACCAATTCTTCGACCACATCAATTCCATACACCCAGCCATCAGATTTGCAATGGAAATCGAAAAAGATGGCCAGCTACCTTTTTTGGATGTCCTAATAAAATAGAGACCTGATGGTTCAATGAGCCACTCTGTCTACAGGAAAGCTACCCATACGGATGCTTATCTGAAACCGGATTCCCACCACCATCCATCACAGAAGAATTCTCTCATCAAGACTCTGTATCATAGAGCCCAATGCATATCCGACCAGGAACACATAGGCAGTGAACTCAAGCACGTACACCAAGCTCTTAAGGTTAATGGTTACTCCGACTATACAATCCGCAAAGCTATTACTCAAACCATGAAGAAGGACCCTCTTGAAGAGCCTTTCAAAACCATCACTTTACCCTACATTGCGGGGATCACAAAAAAGATCTCCAAAATCTTGAATAAACACAAGATCCAGGTCCATTTCAACACATTACATAAAATCCGTGATCTGGTTCCGTCTGTAAAATATGTGATTCCGGACATACATTACCCTGGTGTCTGCAAACTAAGTTGTCTCTGTGGTAGTAGTTACATTGGAGAAACCAAACTCCATGTCTCGGACCGCATTCGTGAACACAAAGCAGACCTTAAACACGGTAGGACCAACACCTCTGCCGTGGCAGATCATTGTTATAATTCAGTAGGCTCACATGACATTGACTTTTCCAAGACAGAGGTTCTTTGTAAGCCATCTGGCTACCATGAGAGATTCGTTCATGAGGCTATCCACATATACAAGCACAGAGACAATTTCAACCGAGAAGATGGATTCTGGCTTAGCAATCATTGGAAAGATTTGATTAACCATTTCAGGTCTGAATTAATTGTTCATGCTTACAGTGGCTTTCAGACAGCATACATTCATTTTTCGTCTCCCCCCTCCTCTTTTCAGAACATAGATGGACTAGTCCTTCTAAATAAACTGCCAAATTTCTGCGCGTGGCACTGACGTTTTTTAAATAAATAAATACACCGTTTGAAAATAAATAAATTAATGTGGACTGACACACCTGATGACGACCGTTTGTGTTATGGTCGAAACGTCATGATAATTTTTATTGTTTCATATATATTTTATTATTTTATTGTTTCCCTTCAACGTGACTTTACCGAAAGAGCTAAGAATATGAATTACTGCAGTCACGAAAGCTTTAAATCAAAATTTAATATATACATTGTCTTTGAAACTGATTGGTCCACACCAGAGACGGCTTTCTTTCGAGCCTAGTCTCAAACGGTGTTAGACCAGAGGATGCCAAAAGGCCTTCAGCCCAAAGACAATGCACTATCAGAGTAATGAGAGCTCGGGGTGAGCATCTACATCAGAGGTCCCATGAAATAGCTAAATCGGTTAGTAAAAGGCACGTCATCTACAAATACGCGCATGCAAGTGAAAACAGATGTTTTGAAATTAAACCTAAAATATTATTTCATTCTTAACTATGTATTGATTGTTACATTTTTACGTGCAGTTTTGTTGAGGGCCTATGTGTTGTCTTGGTGTGGTCTGGGTTGGTCTTGCTCTTGTTTTGTTGCATTACCAAAGTTTCAGCAATGATGCACTTCTGCAATTTCAACTAATATATACTTTATTTTACGTATGTATTCTTTAGTGATTTGCTTACCTGTCCTATACGTTGCACTCCTATCGTTAGTTTGTTTGTATTGTTTGTTGTGGTCACGTTCTGACCCCGTGCCCCTTCTGTGAAAAAGGGCTTCATAGCGCATGTTGCCCATTGAGCGCAGGTTTCTCCAAGGCACACACAGGTGGCTGGATTCTTTTGAGTGGCATCGCCACAAAGGTTCATAAGGTTTCAGCAGATGAATGAGGTATAAGAGAGCCAACCCCTTTCGTATGTATGTATGCATGTCGAACTTATTTTGCACGGTACGTAGCCAACCATGCTGAGGGTTAAACACGAAAATTTTTAAATTTATCCTAAACTTAAATACACGTAACCAAGGCAAAGAATGGAGAATATAAGTAAAATGAGTTAATCATTAAGCTCACGATACATGGATGAGAATATATTTGATACAATATATAAGCTGTATATAAACTGTGTATACATATACATCCCACCCCCATCTTCTTTGGTTCTTTCGGTAAAGTCACGTAGAATGAGAATAAAATAATAAATTAATAGCTCTGTCGTCCCGACAGGTCTGTTCCTTTCACCTGAAGAAGGCCACTTGTGTTGTGGCCGAAACGTCGTGAGAATTTAACCGTGTTATTTAGTTATTATTTTATTCTCATTCTACGTGACTTTACCGACAGAACCAAAGAAGATGAATCCTTGCAGTCACGAAAGCTTTAAATCGAAATCCCACCCCCAGTTTGTTGGTTGGTTTATGCAAATCCACGTGTTTATATATATATATAATTTGGTATCGTCTTGAAAGCACAGTCGTATTTGGGTGTGTACAAACAACAACAAAATAGTCCACTACCTTGCGTTGCTAAGTTATGAGTGAACCCCCCCCCCCCCCCCCAAAAAAAACAAAAAAACAACGTACTAAATTTTGATTTAAAGCTTTCGTGACTGCAAGGATTCATATTCTTGGTTCTATCGGTAAAGTCACGTAGAAGGGAAACAATAAAATAATAAAAATAATAAATAAAATCTCACGACGTGTCAACTGCAACACAAGCAATCATCATCAGGTGTGAAAACCACAGCAAGAAAATAAAAAAAATTGATTGCTTGTGTTGCAGTCGAAACGTCGTGAGAATTTTATTGTTTATATTTTTTATTTTATTGTTTCCCTTCTACGTGACTTTACCGAAAGAACCAAGAATAACCAATGCACTGTGGACTACAAAAATAACGTTTCTGTGATGACCACGAGGGCACATCGTCAGCCTAGCAACGGCGTCCATAGAAACGGCTGGGCCAGGAGGTCATTAAGAGAGCGTCAGGGAGACTGGTGCGTTGGTTCTGGAGGGAATGAGTGATTGAATGAAGCAATAATGATAATTAATAACCAACAATGCAAAAACGCGATAGGAGGGCAAACTATAGGCAAGGTAAGTAAATCTCGAAAAAATAAATGGACTTAAACTAAATTATTTTTTATTTTACCAGGTAAGGCCCACTGAGCTATTAGTATTTTTTTCATAAGGAGCCTGACCACAAATGATAGTTCAACAAAGTGGCTTACCACGCCGAGATGTTAACTACCTCGCCTGGTGTGCAGGAGGTCGTGGGTTCGATCGCAACCCTGACGCCTGCTGAATATTTGGAGTTTGTTCTCACTGTGGTCGTGTGGATTTTTCTTCGGGTCCTTCGGTTTTTCCCTCCACATTTAGAATCAACATAAAGCATTTATACTCTTTTCGTGCTAAAAATATCCACATGATGATAAGCCACTTCGTTGAGTTTATCATTTGTGATAGCCAGGTTCCTTCTGAAAAAGAGCTGCATAGCCTCATTGGGCCTTACCCGGTAAATATAAAAGTACAAATTGTTTCGTTGTTAGTTTTAGTCTCGAGGAGCGTTTCCCAAACTTGTAGAGCCCACGGATCACTTAGCCGATGTAAACATTTCTGCAGGCCAACCAGTCGCCCGCCCACTCCTGGTGACAAACCGCATTCACTTCTCTAAATCCGAATAATAATACTACATGATTCATGTTATCGGAATGTAAACACTTCTTTTTTACGCAGTTATAATTTTTTTACGGGGTCATTTACATCTTGGGGTTAGGGTATTTTAATCAGGGAAGTTTACCTGACTCTATTATTTTGTAATTAAATATCACAAGTCAAATATGAATGCATGTCTGAGCAAAAGGAATGAACATTGTAATTTTGTTCTGATCAACCTAATGATCGTCTGTGGAAAATATCTTTATAGCTCAGAATTCCTCTTGTATGAATAAAATATTCTGGTTTTGATTCTGAACCTGCGGTTGGCATCACAGCCACGGCAGACCTCCGGGAGGAGGTTTTTGGACCACACTCTGAGAGCCATTGCCCTAAAGGGTTAGCTTTGTTAAGGAAGTAGACACCAGGGAGGTAGAATTTATTGACTTACAAAGACAGGTTCAAAATATAAAACGTTGGTAATCATCATTTTAACACGTAGGCTTTGGCGACCAATATTATTAATAAAAAATAATTTGGGTTAGATCACGTAATTATAAATGTGTCCTTACCCCACCACCACGACCCGACACAGCCAATTAGTGAGGCTAATTCTGGCAAATTGCCAGATGAAGCTGGTTGTGATCACCAGCGAAACGTCATACTCAAATTGTAAATGGGTTTACTTTCCAACACACAACCGGTATGCTGAAGTAGTAACTAAGTGGCATGTTTTGTTTACGTGACAAACCTTACTAATTGGCTGTGTCAGGTGGTGGGTTAATGAAGGCATTTTTAAGTACGCAATCTAACAAAAAACTTTATTTTGAGTAATAATCATTGTTCATCGCAGTGTCTATAATACTGGTGGCAATTTCCAAACATGGTCCACTGTGTGTACCCGAATCATTTGCTCAATTAAATACTTTTGGGAAAAAAAACATTAACACGTTTTATGAAAAACTACGAAAAAAATAAACTCAACTATTTTTATTTCACCAGGTAAGGCCCACTGAGCTATGTAGCTCAGGTTCAAAAGCTGCCTGGACACAAATAATAGCTCAACGAAGTGGCTTATCATGTGGACATTTACAGCAGCCACAAAAACGCATGCTTCTAGATGTAGAAGGAAAAAAATCGCAGAAGTCAGATAAAAATCCACGCGATCACGAGGAAAACACGCCAACTCCAAATATGCAGGCGTCAGGGTCGGGATCGAAGCCATGACCTCCTGCATACCAGGCGAGGTAGTTAACATCTTTCCACCATGCCGCCCCAAATATACTTGCCCAAGCAGGTAAACCGTCATTTACATTGTGGGCTTGCACCGACATATTTACCTTCCATACACATATTGCAGCACACACCAGTCTTGCTGCTATATTTCCCTGGGGGGCAAAACTTGTCATCTAGGGATGGAGCTTGCACAAGAACCTTCACAGGGAAAGACAAAACAAAGTGTTACTATGCAGCCAATGAAACCACAATATTACTTTCAATGATTCAAAGTGAGGTTTCCGCTAACAAATCGGAGCTGGTCATGAACCAATTACACACATGTTGCAAGGCATCATCAATGTTTGTTTGAATGTTGAACTTCTTTCGCACCATATGTAGCCAACCATGCTAATCGGAGGTGCGGGTGAAGGACAACAAACTAAACACAACAACATGGACTCCGAAAGCACGAAGAACACACACAGGGACAACAACAACCGCCATTCGCCACTAAGTGGTGGTGACGTCACCACAACGCTTGTGCCAGGCTATGTGCACATTGAGGCCACGTGAAGTGTCGAACGCCCGCTGGCAGGAGGTCATGGGGCAGACCCAGGTGCCACGGGTCGACTGAGACAACTGGCTGATGCACCATCTGTGCCCCTTACTGTGCCAATTTGCTGTGCTTTAGCTACCCGGCGTTCCAATCGTTGTTGTGAGCGTCGCTCCTCCGCCCTCTGTTGTTGTTGGAGGGCGACTGCCTCCAACTGCCCAGTAGCGTCCTTCACGAGCCAACTCCACAGAGGCCGATCTTGACACCGTTGGTACCAGTCATTGGCAAGTCCACTCAGCTCCACATCCTCTGTACCACATCACTCCATCTCTTCTCTAGCCCGTGCCGCGCCAGTTTAGCCCCCTCGATCCGGCAGAACAAAAGCTGTGGCTGGGCATGCGGGCTACATGACCCAGCCAACGCAGCCTTGCCTGCCGGAGGAGCTCCCCGATGGGACTTTGTCCAAATCTTTCAAGGATTTGTGAGCTCCTCACACAATCCAGCCTGGTTAAACCCAGGATGGATCGTAGGCAGGCCAGCCTAAATGTTTCTAACCGGCGAACATTTTCCATTAGGTGGGTCCACGTTTTGCAAGCATAGACAAGGGAGGGAATGACCATGGCCGAGAAGACCTGAAGCTTCGTGCGGAGTGATAGACCAGGTAGCTGCCACACAGCGTTACGCAACCGATGAAAAGATAATGCCGCTCGATTGATTCGGAGTGAGACCTCTGCTGTTAAACTGGAGCCGGTCATGAACACACTGCCAAGGTATGGGAAACTCTCCACTCTCTCCACAACTGTCCTATCACCATTTGGGAGTTGTGGTGGTGGAGTGTCCGATGTTACAAAATACCCAGGCAGGTGCTTTGTTTTGGTGGGGCTGATGGTAAGGCCCCACCTATTGGTGGCGAGCTCTAGGTTTAGCAGCAGCACCTCCAACTCCTCCTCTGAGTGAGCAGCAATTACCAGATCATCGGCATACATAACATAGTTCAGCAATAGGGAGCCATCCCTTGACCGCACCCGGGCATCAATCAGCCTACCATTGTATCTGTACCAAATGGAAATTCATCCGGTATAGCTATTGAAGGCTTCCTAAACTACGTGGTCAAAATAGATGTTAAAAATGTGGGAACCAGAGGACATCCCTGTCGTACCCCAAGGTGTACAGGGAATGGCTCCGACTCCCGGCCACGTAGTTTTACCCGGGCCCACTCACCATCATGAAGGTCCTTAATGATCGTGAGCAGTGGGTCAGGGACTCCGAAAGCACGAAGATAAATCCATAGCCCAGGCCTACTGATGGTATCATAGGCCTTGACACACACACACACACACTGGGAAACACGCACACTGGGACACACACAAGCACACACACACTGGAACAAAAACGCGTGTACTGGGACACTCGGCTCACCTCTGAGAAGTAGAACGTGACCAAAAAGAAGACGAGCGTGCGGAAGAATTTCACTGTGAGCTCCATCGCTCGCTGCCGCCGGAGTCTCGACAACGAAACTCTGACGAAACTCTAGAGCTGCGTGCGATCTCAATGGTGCTGGCTCTGTGAGTGTCTCTCTGACTCGGCTATGTTGGACCAACCCCCTTCAGAGACTCACACCCTGACACATGGCCCTAAGCTAGCATCTCAGCAGTGACAGATCCAGTGAATGCAAATAAAAAATGTTAGACTTACTTCCTTGTGAGTTACCATTGTTGAACACATAGTTTCGGAGCCACACCTTTCACGACTCAACTTTTTTATTATCGTGAGTTGAGTGAGTGTGTGGGTGAGTGAATGGGCGAGTGGGTGTGTGAGTGGGCGAGTGAGCTTGTGGGCGAGTGAGTGGATGGGCGAGTGGGTGGATGGATGGGCGAGTGAGTGGCTGGGCGAGTAAGTGTATTGGTGAACGAATTATTGTGTGGGCAGGTGAGTGAGTGTATTGGCGGGTGAGTGAGAGTGTGGATGAGTGAGTGAGTGGGTGGATGGGCGAGTGGGTGTGTGGGTGGGCGATGTGTGGGTGGGCGAGTGAGTGAGTGTATTTGTGGAATGCCTGGTGTTGTCTGCCGGCCGAGTCGCCCCCCTTGAAAAATATATATTTCGCCACGGGAGCGAGATGTTATCTTGTTTGATCTGATGGCACATGCCGTGTGAAATATCGTTCACGCGGAAATTCGATTTCAAAAAGTGTCCATAATTTGTCCATTGCGTAAATGTGGAGTTTCGTAAACTGAACGTTCGTAAATCGAGGGATATATGGATTTCAGAAATACGCAGTTTACTTCGTGACGAATTCATTATTACTCGTATGTACCTTGAACTTATTTCGCACGGTACATAGGCAATTAAGCTAATCGGAGGAGCAGAGGAAGAACAAAACACAACACAAAAATCAGTGGCAAAGAAATTCGTTTTCAATCTTGGGCTTCTGTAGCTCTACAACGATCAGGAGCCATTGCTTGAAATGTTGCCTATTGAATGGTTTCCTCTTCATGGCAGTGTTTTTTGAGGAGTTGGTTGATATGTTATTTGTGAAGTCCTTTTGAGCGTAATCTCAGTCTCCACCTACCTCTCTAAGCCACACCTTGCCATATAATCTTCACTTCCCTCATATAGGTGGTGCATTTGGGCTGCATCGGAGGTTTAAAGGACAGGTGTTATTGCCTTGAAAAAGTTAAAAAAATATAATAAGTCTTGTTCCTCCATGAAGCAGTGAATTCGGCCTACAAGTGAGTATTCAACGATATGTGAATGTGTAGATGTGTGTGTGTATGAGTATGTGTGGACTTAGCGGGGAGTGGTAGTGTATCGGTTGGCGCGCTGCGCTGTGAACCCGGCGACCTGGGTTCGATTCCCGCTCACGGCCAACACCAGTGACGATTATCTGAACCGGTCCTGGGCATCCCCTAAGTAGACTCAGACTCAAATGAGTACCCAGTGTGGTGTGTAAACATCACCACTGGGGAGACAAAGGCGGTCGGACGTGGTGCTGGCCACCCACCCCCTCGTGTACTGTTGCAGCCTTCATAGGTTATCGCTAACAACACTTGCCCCTACAGTCTGTTAAGGCTATACGGGGGATCTTTGTCTTTGGGGAATCAGCCTGGCACAAGCGCCACCTAGTGGCGAATGGCGGCAGATGCTGTTGTGGACTTTTAGACACCGGGCGAAGTACGCAGAGTATGGGGTACAGCTGGTGCATCTACCGATCATCTCAATCAGCCAACCCATGGCACCTGGGTCTGTTCCGAGACATCCTGTTAGCGAGCCTTCGTCACTTTACGTGGTCTCAAAGTGCACCTGGCCTGGCACAGGCGCCGTGGTGACGTCACCGTCACTTAGTAGTGAATGGCGGGTATTGTATTATTATGTGTGCATAGGGAGAGCGGTAGTGTAACGGTTGCGTGCTGCGCTACAAACCTACCCTAGGTCGACTCAGCCTCAAATGAGTGGTGCGATTTGAAAATATCGCCACAGAGGAGACAACGGCGGCCGGGCGTGGTGCTGGCCACCCACCCCCTCGTTTGCTTATCAGCCTTCATACAGTGAGGGAAAAAAGTATTTGATCCCCTGCTGATTTTTTTACGTTTGCCCACTGACAAATAAATGACCAGTCTATAATTTTAATGAAAGGTTTATTTGAACAGTGAGAGACAGAATAACAACAACAAAAATCCAGAAAACGCATGTCAAAATGTTATAAATTGATTTGCATTTTAATGAGGGAAATAAGTATTTGACCCCTCTGCAAAACATGACTTAGTACTTGGTGGCAAAACCCTTGTTGGCAATCACAGAGGTCAGGCGTTTATTGTAGTTGGTCACCAGATTTGCACACATGGCCTTTACCAAATACGAAGAATAGAGAGATACATGCTTGGATTTGCAAACAGGCAGACAGATGAACATGTAAATTTAGAGAATGTATGCGAGTTAACGGCATTATCCAAAGTTTTGTCGCCATACATTGCTAAAAGGGATGATGGCCGAAAGGCAAGAATGACGACGAAGTGGCAAATACGGAATGGGACGCATCTGTAAGCAATTGAAACAGCTCGTTTCCAGACGCTTTGTGGATTATTGCATCTTGGGATCGTGGGAGATGGCGATGGCTTGGGAAAAACGTCATCCAGCAGTGGCTTGATTTTGGCTGATGATCACTGTTTATGATTACGCGTATCAGAATGTTACCTGAAATTTTAAAATGTTGTATTGGATCATAGTTAAAAATGTAATGTACTTTTCTTATCACCAGGAAAGAGCTCAATTAAATTAACTTCCTGTTGTATATGGCATACTTTATTTTAACAAATGAACGCACATTGACATTGTCAACTAAGCTATTAATTAATCAGATGAAAGTCCATTCGGATTAATGTCTCACGTAATTGACGTTTTTTTTATTTAACCACGTGACAGCTATTAACATAAATTACCGTTAATAACCGACGTCCGTTATTTAACCATGTCACCTGTTGAATCGTGTCCTTGTAGCCAGCCCATCCGGCCCTGTCTCCCGGCGTGTTCATAACGAGAGAACAGGCCAGATGAAGACCATTCAGAGACAAGTGATGCAAAATTTTTATTTAAAGCTTTCGTGACTGCAGGGATTCATATTCTTGGTTCTTTCGGTAAAGTCAGGTGGAAGGGAAACAATAAAATAATAAATATAAAACAATAAAAAATTCTGACGACGTTTCGACCACAGCAAGAACATTTAATTGCTGTTTTCACACCTGATGATGATTGCTTCTGTTGCAGTCGAAACGTCGTGAGAATTTTATTGTTTTATTATTTTATTGTTTCCCTTCTACGTGACTTTACCGAAAGAACCAAGAATATAAGCGATGTTAAGTTTGCGTTGTGTTCGTTTCCTCTTCCTCATCGTCGCACGGCTGCTTGAGATTACTGGACAACTTCGCGCAGGAACACACACGAGTGGGCAACGTGACAGCAACACTTTGTTTCGAAATGTTCTCTTACGGGGAGCCTTCTTGTCTCTGCGACATTGACCAAGAGACCCTGCGTCGGCCCACGTGCTACAAAAACCCACAGTGCTCAATCACCCTACTCCTGCTTGCCCAGCTCGCGAAATGATCACACATTCCCCGCACCTCCGATTAGCACGGCTAGGTTACACATTACGAAAGAAGTTAAACTTACGTACATTTATCACATTTGAACAAAAGTACCTGCAAAAATTATAATTTCCACGGAAATTTCTACTAAATTTAAGCATATTATTGACATGCAATCATAATAATATATATAGAAGATGTAATATGTAATTATATTACTACATAAATGAGGCAAATCATAGTTTGCTAAACACGAGTATAAAATATACATTTTGTTTCCTATCGGAATCAACAGCCAAATGAATCTCTGCCAAAACACTGGGAAGACTGTGTTCACACCAAACTCCTGAAGCTCAGTGCTAAATCCGAGTCTGCATAGTGGCTATGTTGTGCATTGTAGCCAATAGTACTGAGAAAGTTTAATCACGTTGAATGAAAATAACTGCCCTAAAATGGATTCTATTTTACCATCACAACGTTTAAATCACCTTCAAATTGCTTCATAGATATATTAATTGACCAAGAGTACCCCAAACAACCGTTAATAATGCTCGTAAAACAATGATACAACCGCGACACATCTCATCACATCTCTCATCGTACGCCGCCCTTCACCAACACCCTCCTGCCCCCTGGCTCTAGCTCCACCGAATAACTCGTCACACATTCCACTGTGAAATGTAATATATATAATGTGATGTCATTTTACCTACCTTTTTCACCCCCGACGATGGGGGGCGGGGGGGGGGGTGTAGATTCCTAAAACTCTATAACCGCAAGTTATGGGTTTAGCTCAGGCCTGGAACTCGGCGTTGTTTAAAGTCTGTCTGTTGAGAGCATACGATCCAAGATCAAGATCTCTTACTATCTGTCCCAGGTGAACCATCGCCACCCACGCCAATGATCACTTGTCGGCAGGTGGGGACTCGTCTTGCCAAACTGATGCTAAGGAAACAACCACTTCATGCGCTTCGCCCTAGGGTAGACCTGAAGCAGGACATCCGATTTGGCTCCTGGAACCTACTAACCGTAAAAGACGATGGAAAGCTACCATTACTGGCGAGGGAGCTGCGTGACATCAGAGTGGAAGTGGACGCTCTGTCCGAGGTGCACCGTCCGGGCATTGGAGAGATGTAGTACGTATGTTGAACTTCTTAAGTGTAGGTAGCTTCACCTTCCACTGATCTGGATACGCTGGGGGCGTGCATCGGAGAAGAATAGCATTTTCAATCTCCTCACGGCTGGCCCTGCCAGTAAAGAAGATCCAGGCCATTGATTAGGGTTTAATGTACATGAGAATGAGGCACTCCTTGGAATGCATCTCTTGCATTTCAGCGTACGCTCCAACCGAAGAGAGTGATCTTGAGAAGGAACATTTCTACACTAATCCATTGGCCACATTGTGTGACTTTATTATATTAAAGTCACATTGTGTGACTTTAATATATTTTATTGTTTCCCTTCAACGTGAATTTACCGAAAGAGCTAAGAATATGAATTACTGCAGTCACGAAAGCTTTAAATCAAAATTTAATATATACATTGTCTTTGAAACTGATTGGTCCACACCAGAGACGGCTTTCTTTCGAGCCTAGTCTCAAACGGTGTTAGACCAGAGGATGCCAAAAGGCCTTCAGCCCAAAGACAATGCACTATCAGAGTAATGAGAGCTCGGGGTGAGCATCTACATCAGAGGTCCCATGAAATAGCTAAATCGGTTAGTAAAAGGCACGT